ACAAAGTTCTTACCCGTTGATATACCACTAATGCAGCCTTGTTAAGATCTTTAAGTTCTGCAGAAGGGCAGTTTCCACCAGCAGTTATGTTACAGCAGCTTTTGGGGATGCCCTCGGTTTTGAAGTAATCCGTGTTTGCCCAGCTGGTGTAGTTCTTCTCTCCACAGCATTGCAGCTACAAATGACAAAATCAATAAATTACATTCCTCAAAATAACATTTAAGCAGATAAGTGAAGTTTGATGTAATCCCTATGTTTTGTACTGCTCCCAATAAAACAAATACGTGCTTACTGTTCTCTGGATTCTGTCCAGATCTTCATTGCCCTTACCACTGTAGACTGATTCAGCTTTATTATAGACACCTTGAAGCACTGATTTAATCTTAAAAAAAAAAGTGAAAACATTATTTGGCTGTAGACATCAGATGGTATTTGAAATACTGTACGTAAACGTAAAAAAATAAATAAATAATTACCTCGTGTCTGAAAATAAAGCCGGATATACCTGCCACTAGTTCAGCCAAGAACACAACCATCAGGAACATAGCATACTACAAGGGAGGGGGAAAAGAGAAAATGCTTAAAAACAAATCAACAAAAAATTTTCAAAACATAATGAAATTTCAAGAAAAATGGTACAAAATAAGACCTGAAAATCTTAAAATATTTAAAACATTCAGAAATGATCATCAACCTTGTAAGGTAAAAATAAATATTATATGAGCCGGTTTACTTTCTATTTATGTTTTATGAGACTATTTTTTCCAACTGTTAAAAAAGTTACACTGACAAATCTATAAAAATTAAAATATACAGTGTACACAAAACTATTAAATTAAGGAGTCATGCAGCAATAAGACTCCAAATGTTGGGCTGTAGATATTAAGCTTTCATATCATAGAGCAGGGGTGCCCAAACTCGGTCCTGGAGGGCCGGTGTCCTGTAGAGTTTAGCTCCAACCCCAATTAAACACACCTGAACCAGCTAATCAAGCTCTTACTAGGCATACTAGAAACTTGAAGGCAGGTGTGTTGAGGCAAGTTGGAGCTAAACTCTGCAGGACACCGGCCCTCCAGG